TCGCTGAACTGGTCGACGGCACTGTTCCGGCATGTTTGCCTCTTCTTTCTCTCTTTTCAGCAGATCAGATCTAGACTGTTCAGATCTAATCCAATGGCCCAAAATCGGAGATACCCCTTCGATCGGAATTTTGCAAATACACCCTTATAAATATTTCTGACTTAACCCACAGTCCAAAGCGTGTTTACATATTTCGTTTTCTCTTTTTAAAAGCGTATTTTGGTTTGGTTTTATTGAAATACGTTTTCAGCTATTTACAGTTTTGCCATTCGACTTGTTTCAGCCATAAAATCTCTGTTTGAACTCTGATTTGATCCATTCAAGTTACGTTAGGTTCGTAATTAAGTAATCTACATGTTTATGTTACTGTAAAGTAGATTTTCAACTTTTAAAATTCGAAATTAGATTTAATCTATTATTTTGCTATAGGAAAACTTGTTTAATTCATAACTTTTCCGTTTTAGATCCGATTTTTGTGATCTTCGCGTCTGTGTGTTCGTAGCGAGACGTAGATTCGTTTTCCAAACTTTTCATCTTGATTTTATGCTGTTGGTGTACTGTTCTAATCTGTAGCCTTGTTTGCTTTGCATGATTGCTCCTGGATGCTTGTATGTTGCTGTGGTTATCGAGTATAGACGATGAGCAGTTCGTGGGAGATCAAGGGTACGACTTTGACGAGCAGGACTAGCAAGAGTACTTTGCTCAAGGCAAGTATAGCATGGGATCATCCTTGTTTCCTATTCACTTTAATTCACTAAATTCATGTTGCATGTGTCGCCTTGATAGGAATTCCCTAGAATTGAACTTTTATCTTGTTACCTACGGGTTATGTATTTGGGTAGCTTTGCTAGTGCTCAATTAAACCAAGATCTTGTAACTTGACTAATGATATATGTAATAAACATTAAAATATGACTTTTAGCAACATAAAAACAGGGGGTTGGAGTGTTTAGCTATTTTCTAAATGCTTCAGATTCCTCTCCCTAAGGACTCATCTGTAAGTGATCATCCGGGACTTACAGTACAGTTGTGAGGGTTACATGACTCTGGCTTTAACTCAGTATGAGGACCTTTTCTAGCTTATTAGTGGTTACCTTTATTGGCGTAAGAATGGCTTGACGAATCGGGTATAGGACAGCCTCTACTCCTATGTGTATAGCCGTGAAGGAATTGTGCCATTTGACAGGGGTTCCTATAACTGTTTGCCGAGTGAATCTAATGGCCCTAACTTGTTAGATGAACCTTTGAAAGATTTCATAGTGACCCCTGCCTGCTCACCTTGAAAGTGTTTTGGGAGTAATTAACCCGGGCATATGGGTATCACGACTCACAGTGAAAGTGTACAACCTCTACAGAGTGTAAAACTGTTATAACAACCGTGCTCACGGTCACGAGCGGCCTTGGAACATTTACAGAATAGATGAACACTAAGAATTATTTGTTTATGTTATTCATTATTCATGTTTATATTTGATCATGTGTTTTGCATTGGGAATTGAAACAATTTGTTGCTACTCTTAAGCTAAAATTATGACAATTAAAAGCTGAGCGCTGTTAAACCTGTGTCAAGCCTTTTGAGCCTCATGAACCCCGTGTTACACTTGTTGAGTACGACATGTACTTACGCTTGTTTATTTTCATTACTTGGATAAAAATCTCGGATGGGTAACAGATGGCTTTGGGTATGATGATTTTCCTGAGGACTACTAGACTTGTGGTCAACCAGTTGATGTCCCTGTGATATAGAGCTTCCGCGAGAGATCTTTTTATTATTCCCGCTATATTTATGTGATAACTCTGTCTTATTCGTGATGTAATAAATATTTATGATGATACTATTCATAATTTGTCAGCTTATGTGTGTGACTGATCTCTGAACGCACATAAGATTTTGCACTCTATTTTATCCTTAAAATTGGGTGTGACAATGTGCTCCTCATCACTTCCGCCTCGCCATATGAACCGGCGGTGAAGACGTTTTTTCACCACCAGCTTGTTGTAAGATACGGCGGTGATAATCATGCTACAACACAATAAAATTCATAACTTTTTCAAATAAAGTTAGATAAAAACAAACTTTATATCAAAGTTGTAGATCTCGACGAGTGTAGTTGATGACTTTTTCATTTGAAACCATTTACGGTCCCATAATTCTTTTTAAAGCGCTTAAATTTGGAAATTCAATTTTTTTTGAATCGTAGAAATGACCTTAGATGAAAAATGACCAAAACCAAAGTTGTAGATCTTGACTATTTTACTAGAAATCATTTATAGTTTTAAATTTGTATCTGAAGATTTAAAATTTAAAAAAATCAAATTTTTCTAACAACCTCAGATAGAAAATTGACCAAAAACAAAGTTGTAGTTTTTTATGAGAACAACAACTTGTAGTTGATGAGTTTTTCATTTGAAATCATTTGAGGTCCCAAAAGTTTTGCTAAAGTTTTAATGTTTTGAAATTTAAATTTATCAAACGAACTCGGATGGCAAAACAACCAAAATCTAGATTGTAAATCTTGATTAGAACAATGTAGTTTATGACTTTTTCATTTGAAGTCATTTAGGGTGCTAAATATTCATTTTAAATCCTGAAAAGTGAATACTAGGGGAATTGATATGCTATATAGACATAAGCGACTTAGTTGTGGAGTGGTTAGAGAAGAGTGGTTAGAGGAGCTAAGGACAAAGGTCTTAGGTTCGAATCCCACCACTATTGTGTACCATGAAAAATAGCGTGGAGCTAGAGCTAGAGCAGCTTCTTAGTACCATGAAGCTAGAGTTGGTGGGAGGGGCTTTCCAGTACTGAAACAAAAAAATTTGCTATTTTTGGTCCGTTTTTGGAAATTTTGAAAATTCAAATCACCGTCCGGCTGGTAGTACAAACCGACTGTGATAAGCTATTATCACCGCCTGTGATGAGAATGTCATCACCACCGATAGCTTACTGTCGAGAACGAAAAGTGTTTGTGATAGGTTTTACGAATCGCTTATGATAAGTCTGAATGTAGTAATGGTAGTAATAACCTTGCGGTAGTGCTCCTATCAGGATGTCCGTCTGTGACTCTGCATCCAAAGCGGCTCCCCAGGAGCGGGCCCAAAACAAAAACCCCATTCGGACAGGCCTCCCACCGCTCACTCCTGCACGCACGCGCGTGGCCGCCTCGCTTTCTCCTCTCCATTCTTATCTCTTCCGCGCTCGCGCCCTGCCCCACCTCGACGCGCCCATGGCTGCCTCCCTGGCTGGCGGCGGCGCCCCTCACTCGGCGTCCTCCTCCTCCACCCCGGCGTCCTCACCCACTAGGAGTGCCCAACGTCCGCGGATCCGGTGGCTCTCTCCCCTACCCTAGCGAGATCCATGGAGGTGGCGCGGCGGTATTGCAGGGGTGTGGGCGGCTCTCCCCCACCCCGGCGCAACGCCCCTCCCTACCCCCCGACAGCGCCCTCTCTCACCCTTGCGACCGAGCTCCCCCCGGCCCTAGCGGCCAAAATCGACTGGCCCAGCCTTCCCCTCCCCTATATTTGCATATATATATGTTTCAAGTGTTTCAGGCATTTCAGAAGTATGTTGCATTTATTTCATATAGATGTCACAAAAGTAGATCAGGGGATGTTGCACATGTTGTAATTGTTTCAGAGGCATGTTGCAAGCGTATGTTTTGAGCGTTTCATATATTTCAGAGGTATGTTTCATCTGTGTTTTTCGGACGCATGTTGCAAGTGTGTTTATCTAGATGTTGCATATATTTCACACATACGTTGCATGTGTGTTTATTTGGATGTTGCGTATGGTTGCAATGGTTTCCAAGTGTTTTTAGGTGTTTTTTCAAGTGTTTCAGAAGCATGTTTCAAGTGTTTCAACTGCCTTCAGATGTATGTTGCAACTGTTGTATTTGGATGTTTTAAAGTAGATCGGGTGTTGCATCTCTCCTTCCCACCTTCTGTTGCATCGTCTCTCTCGACGCCGGTAGGGCATCCATACGACGCCGCGGCTTGGTCCTTCCGAATCAGAGGTGTCGTGCGCCCTTCCCCAAATGTCGCTTGGGCAGCACGGGCCCTGCATGGAGCGCGAATCAGAGTGCAGCGCGCGGCGTCTGAACACGAGCGTCTGTCCAGACGTCCGGGCGCTGGTGTCGGTCCAGACATCTGGACGCTAGCACTACAGGTAATTTTGTAGGCTAACCCAAAGATCGGCTAGGCCATCCTCCACTGTGTTTTCCATCTGATCCCGATCGCTGTGGTCTATCATTTTTAGGGCCTCTTTGGCACAGCTTATGCCGGCTTCGGCTTCATCTATTTTGCGCAAATCGAGACACGGTAGCGTGAAGCTGTTTTGTAAGCTGGGGTTAAAATGAACTAGAAGGCGGAAAAAGCCAATTTTTTTGGCTTCACCGGCTTTGGCTTCACCGGTGAAGCTGTTTTGGATGAGGCGTGCCAAAGAGGGCTTTAGTGTGGTGCGACTGATATTCCCTTCTATACCTTACTATAGCACTGCTCCTCGAGATCCCTCTCGTATTCAATATGTATCCATCAAAGGTTTAAATAAACGTATGTATATTTCCTTCATAATTTCAGTATTTCTCCCTCCTTCATACTCCCATACGACATTACTGGATTCCTTAGCCTTTACAAGAGATATAGATGAGCGAGTAATTGACGTCGCTCTCGACTCTTAGGATATGCAGGGTTTTTTTAAAGGAGAATAAATTCTCTGCTTTTAAGAAAGCAAGGAGGATATGCAGGGTTTGAGAAAGGAGAATATTCTCTGGTTTCTCAAGTGCGTGGCGCGAAACGTACTGTTGCCACTCCATAAAGCGAGAGCTCATCAACTCACAGCCGGGCCAACCCAAGCCGGCCAGTCACGCTGCGAGCGCGCGTGCCAACTCTTTCAGTTTCATTTCACCCCGCGAGACGACGAACGCGGCGCGGCCGGCGGACACGGCTCAGGCTCATCTATCCGCGGTGACTAGCAGCTAGCTGAGCACCTTCTGCTCTGATCCCACATGGAGGAGCACGTCGTCGCCGTCGCCACGCCGCGCGCGGACGGGGAAGCGGAGTCCATGTTCCTGCCGTTCCTGGCGATGTTCGCGTCCATCTACCTCGTCGGCTACTTCATCGTCTTCCGTGGCTGGGGGCCGCCGCGGCGGCGCCGCGCCGAGGCCGCCAGCTGCTTCACCTCACTCTTCCACGGCACGCCCACCGCACTGCTCGCCCTCCGCGCCGTGCTGCTGTCCCGCTACCACGCCGCCAGCGGCAGCGGCACCACCCACAGCCTCCTCGCGCTCCCGGTGGCGGCAGCGGCGGCGCCCAATGCGGCCGCCGAGGACCTGGTGCTTGACTTCAGCACGGCCTACTTCGCCGTGGACCTCGCGCACTACCTCCTGCTGCTGCGGGACGAGGCCCTGTTCATCGCGCACCACCTCGCCACGCTCTACGTCCTCGCCACCTGCCGCCACGCCGCCGCCCCGCTGCTGCCGCTGGTGGTGCTCCAGGAAGCCACGAGCGCCGCGCAGAACGCGTGGACGCTCGCCGCCATGCGCCGGCACGACTCGCCGCTGGCCGCCAGGCTCTCGCTGCCGTTCTACGCCGCGTACACGGTCGCCAGGGCCGTCCTCGGGCCGGCCTGGTTCGTCAGGATGGTCGGCGTCTTCTACGCGTCCTCCAGCGGCGGAGGCGGCCGCGTGGGCGTGGGCGTCGTGGACGGTCGTCATCGGCGCCGGGATAGCGATGAGCATCCTGTGGGTGGCCAACCAGTGGCTGGCGTACTTCAGGGAAAGGAAAACGGAAAGCAAGCAGCAATGATCATTTCTGCAGCATTGTTTCCGTTCACTCATATCGCTGTCCGGAGCAAATTCAGTTCGTGTTTTTGTTAGCTGGATTGGATATCACTATCACTATCGTGTGTATGCTGTTAACAGTAATTTGGAAGAGAAGTCTTCTTCAAATTAGATGGGACGCCTTGGCAAACTCGCTCGACAGTCCGTCTGTAACACACAAGTTTAGCAGTATGGTATGAATATATGATCGACCTCAGACGAACCTCAACTTCCCAGAATATGAGCATGTAATTGTTAGTGTATTTGTTAGGTTTCATGGAACTGACATCAAGACTGGACCATGCCATTGTAACTGTCATGATTCGGAGATACACAAGTACAATTCATGTATTCGGAAACATATCATTATAGTTTAGTTTTGTTTGAAAAAAAAGTACCACTATAATTTGAGCATTATTATGAATAAATACCACTAAAACTTGAGTTATATTAAATCATGCCATTAGAATTTCAATAGGATTACAAGCTACAGGGAGTTTTAGTGGCATATTTCATAATATGTAAATTGTAATGGCATATTTTGAAATCATGATAGTTGTAATGGCATATAGGTTCTAATTAACCCCTGACATCAATAAGCATCTGATCTAATGCAAAGCAACTATTTACCCGCTGCAGCGCAAAAGACAACCCATTTCAAAAAAGACAGATGCATTAGTATTGCACGTGCGCATTTCTTGCCAAACAGAAAACGTCCGCATATGAGCAACCCCGGGCCTTGTTTAGTTTACATCAAAATTCCAAGTTTTTTCACTCTCTCTCCATCACATCAATTTTTAGCCGCTTGCATGGAGCATTAAATGTAGGTAAAAAAAATAACTAATTGCACAGTTTAATTAGAAATCACGAGATGAATCTTTTAAGCTTAGTTGGTCCACAATTGGACAATATTTACCAAATAAGACGAAAACGCTACTATTCATCAGGTTGCAATTTTTTGCAATCTAAACATGGCCCCGGTATGGCTTTTTCCTCGAACCAGAAAAGACAAGCTCCACAACAAAAAATATATAAAAACCGGGCCCAGAAAACAAGTGGCACTCCTGGACGTGACACTGGATCCACATTTTCACACACCAACACTTGGACAGAAAAATGCAAATATCAGGCCAGACAAGGCAGTAGTACCACACAATAGGGCGCCAATGAGCCATAAAAAGAAGCATCCCTGTACAGGTGTATAAAAAAAAGGTGAAAAGATGTTACAAACGTCTTCTTTTCAACGATGAAATAAATATGCATGGCGTTGTACTACGGTGGGTGGTAGGCTGCCATTGTTCATCACCTTTTTAAAAAAGTTTAGGTTCATCGCTTGAGAATCGAGTATTCAGGAAGTTGTATGGCTATCTAACAGGATTTATTTCTTCCGGTGGATTTGCATCCTAAAACATGTCCTAGTAATACAACCCAAAATTGGGAAAAGGTGCATTACAGCTTCATTATATTGTTAACAATCTGGATACAAACTACCAGTAATCATGGAACCATAAGAATGCTATGTGGAGAACAGCATGGACCAACCAATTCCTGATATACAGTTGTTAGTTGACAATAATATTAACTTTCTAGTCCAAGTACTTGGTTAATCTCAAAAGGCGCATTACAGCTTAATCTGGACAAACTGCTAGTAATCATGGAACCATAAGAATGCTATATGGAAAACAGAAGGGATGGACCAACCAATTCCTGATATATACAGTAGGACTGAAGAGAACCAGGTCAGTTGTTAGTTGACGATAATATGAACTTTTTAGTCCAGGTACATGGTTACAAAGGAAATGCCACATGTTAAGCAAAACTTTCTGGGATAACAAACGTTGAGATGGATTTCCGAGCTCAATTTACATGTCCCCAAGAAAGCTTGCCACAAAAATAAATCTTACCGCTTCAATCCTTCCTTTTGGTGGGCTTCTGGTGTGGCAAACAAGAGAAGAAGCCTTAGGTAATTTTCTGCAGCGGGTGAATCAGAGCCTCTTTTCATGTTAGGTGATATGCCCCGACAGTAATCCTATATGCGGATGATGGTTGCGTTGGTCTTGTCGATGCCCTCATTGTAGTAAAGCTCCACAAATGTGCCCCCACCAATACCCTTTGCCAACCTCCCAGGGTTCACACAGATAAACCGTTTCTGGACGTCGCTACCTTCTCCAAGGGAAAGCACCTGCACATAATAGCTGTTCAGCATCATTCCATTCAGAAGGAAGTAACTTATAAACAACAGACATGTGAACATACAGTTCTGACTTTTGAACAATGGGCTCACGGATGGGCAGAATTCGAATATATGAATATTAATTAGAAGTTTACAATAAATGTGCTGCCTGTACTAAAAACTTGTCATTACCTTCACAAATGGTGCAAGATCAGAAGGAAGAATGAGAACATCTGGTGCTGATGAGATCTCCAATGCTTCCTTAGCAAGTGAGAAGTCTAATGGCACACCAGCAGCAGGAGGGTATAGAGGATAGTAACTGTAGGAAGAGCTCTACATCAGAACTCATAAACTGCACACAATCCGTCCCCACTGATACAACATGATAAAGCCAAATGGAATCACCTTTGTTGCTTTAATATGTGCGAGGCAAGTCTACCAATCCTGTCTCCAGGCTTTCCGACAGGTGGCTTGCGAGAAATTTCCTCACCACTGAGCTGTTTCAGAATGTCTACTGTACAACATCCAAAATGTATCTGGAAAAAAAGGATAGCAAACATTTTTGGGCTACACTTATCAACACATTTCTAATCTAACAACATATAAGATGAATTTTGCTCATAATATGCATGAGAAGTATTAAGAACATTTCCATTCTTAATATAATGATACACAGCTCTCCTTCGTGTTCAAGAAAAAAAAATCCCAATAAGTTACAAATTTGGAGAATATCTCATGAGCAAATACAACAGTGTGGCAGCATTTAGGCCTGGTAATCCCTAAGCATTGAATGGAGTCTTCTAGACAATGCAACAAGAGAGAAAATGCAGAGATGAGGAGCATATGAAGATCACAACAAGGAGAAAAAGATTCTTTTGAGTTCAATGACCATGTCTCAATTTTAATTTGTAGGACAATGACAGAAATAACTTAACCAAAATAAAGGCATACCTATTTGATAATAGACAAGGAAAACCATATATATATTTTGCATGCTCCAACCATTACATTATTCATTACAACTATTAACATAGCGTACCTCGTTAGAACTGAAGAGACATGGATTTGCCAGACAAGTAATCTGCATAATGTATGTAAACCTTTTAAAAACAAAGGAATATCATTACCAAATACCTCACAAGAGCAATCTTACAGAGTAACACATACCTGATGTGTGATATCTTCTGGCAAATTCAAATCAAATGCAGGCTGCATGTAGCAAACAGATATATCATTAGAGATGCTTGTGCTGAGAACATTAAAAAAAAGGCTTAAATAACAATAACACAATTCATCTGCACATACAACCAGACTATAAAGCCTAGTAGACTGGAAGTAAACTTGTTGCACTATCTCAGCAAAATTTACATCTAACTTTGCAGACATTAATTGATATGTAATGATACAGCAACATGTTTATAATTATTAAATCAGATCTGAATCTCAATAAGGAAAATTACAAACCTGAGGGAAAACAAAGTCATGGTGAGCATCACGCACGGATGGAATGAGAATTACACGGACAGTGTTCCCCAGATACTGGGTAAAGTCTTGAATCTGAACAAAAAAATATAACACACATGAATAACTATTGCATTTGGCAATGTGCCAGCATTACACCTTCAGAAATCAGCATTTACCTACCTTTCTCAGAATTTCAAAATGGAAAATATCATGAAAGCTCTGGTCAACAGTTCCTTTTTTATGTCAGGATGATCAGAGTCAATGAAGGGTCCCATCTGCCAAAGAACAATTGATGTGTACAGTAGCAGAATACTTCAAACATCAATGTGTTGTCCCATGTACAGAATTGAGAGGACTCACCAATATGAGCAGCTGAGGCTGCTTATGACAAGCATATGAAAGAAGTTCTTGCAGTGGCTCAAACAACAGATTATCGGTTGTTGTATAGGGACCTGCCGCGATGACCTGTAAAAGACATGAGGTAAAACAGTAATTATTTAAATTAATGATTGGCCTACTCTCCTTTGATTGAGCATGACCATGCAATAAATGAAGAAAGTATAAACATGCATTTGATTCATAATTAAAATAGAAGAACAATGAACTGATATCAGTTTAAGCTTGGGTGAAATATACTAATTGTTCATTAAAAAGATATGTTTGATGCAGCATTATTTCGAATAAAAAACAGACAGGAACTAACCGATGACAATGCTCTTGACAGAGTGCCAGCGTCAGAGTTTTGGTTGCTTTCATTATCAATAGCTTGTTTCTTAGCACTAGGAAGTTGAGCATCCACAGAGACCAGTATGGAATCAATTAATTTTGATGCAACAAAACAGTGTCCGCTGGGATTGTGGCCTTCAATACCCACCACCTGTTATTTAAATTTGTGTTAATTTGACTCAGCAGATAATGTATATGGTAATAGAACTGGTTGCGCTTACCTGCCCAGGAAACAAGGAGAAGTGATCAAGATCCTTCAAGTCAAGGCGCACACGCTGTCCCCTGGAGTGTTGAACACTAGAAAAAAGATGTTTCCGTAATTAGCCAAAAGAAATAACAAAATGGTGACTAAGCAAAGATCATCACATGAATGAGTCTAAGAAGCACACTCACCCGCCCTGTAGCGAGATAGACTTTTCATTCAAATGACCTTCCCCATCACAAGCTACTGTACCGACTGCAAACATTTTCTCCTGCAGAGGGCAGATAATTGGATATCCTATCAAGGAAAGGGGTGATGATGAGGTAAGTAGTTAAAAAGAACAAAACTAGGCGGTGCAATTACCTCTGACGCAAGGGTAGCATCTGCAGGTTCTCCACAAAACCCAGATGCAGAAAACAAGCTTGCCGATTTTCGTATCCGATCTTCCAAGTAATTAAACTGAAAAAGGGATGCAGTCAAAGAGCAGATGCTTATGATAATTAATAAAACAAAATAGCAATGCCCTTACTCTGTCTTCCATTCTGTCATACATGAATCTGCAACCTGGTTCAGGCTGTGAGTGCTGAACTTGTAAGGAACATCTTTGACTTGGTTGAATTCTTCTAATTACTTCATCTTCTGTGATTTCAGCATTTTTACTTGGCACACTAACTGCATTATCAGCATTGAGAACATACTGTTGGGTAAATTTATTTACTCGTGTTGCAAAAGGGGTAATACGATCAGCATTTGTTTTGGCCACTCTGCTGGATGATGGTCTGTCACTTGTCAGAGGAGTTAACTCAGAGTTAGATGACTCTTCAGGTGGCTTTTCCTGTTTAGAGCCTGGTGTGTCATGAAATGCCACTTCATCTGCATGTGAATTGCTCAAGAGCCTGCAACAGTTGCTTCTACATTATATTTATATTTTTTTTTCTTGGCAGTGAAATAAGAAACAAAGGTACTTCTGTGACAAGCATGCACGTAAATGAATCTGATATGTGGAACTAACATGTCGACATCATTACTGGAGTAAATGTGAAGGTTGGCTTCTTCTTTTATTATCCTGTCTTTAACTTCATTTTGAAGGTGTGACAGAAAACCATCAAGATACGAGCTTTCAAGCTTTAAGCCATCCAATTGCCTGCATAAATTAGTTCTTTCAGTTTCCTTAGCTGCATCATGTAAAAGAACAAAAAAGAAATATATTGACCCTGGAATCATAATCATCAGGGAGGCATCTCTTAATACAGACAGAAGAATATTGAACATGAGCTGGAAGATTTTAATCATACCTAAATGTTGATGGGATTTAATGAATCATCAAGACATCAAACAAAGTTTGATCATAGTTAATAGCAAGTGGATGTTTATGCTCCAGCAAAAAAATAAACACTGAGCCAAGAACATCTTATCCATAATAATCAGCACAGCCTTACAGATGGCATGCTTAATTAAACAGCAAAAGATGCTATCATCAAATTTCATAGAAAGCAGACGCCCTTTCTGCAGAGCACTTTAACGACCTACAGTCACTAAGACTTGCCTAATCTCAGCTGCAAAAGATGCTACAATAATGTTATTCGCAACATTGGGATGAGCTGACCTGTTGAGGTAATAGACCTCCCAGTTGGAGACGAGGTCCGCGGGGCTCATCTTGTAGTTGATGCAGTAGGTCAGCACTGCAAGCAAAACCACACACCACACACACATCAACATAAATCAAAACCAACTTAGAACCAGAGAAGGGCAAGGGGGGAGGTGGGGACTCTTGTACTTACGCGTGGTGAGGATCTGGGCAGCGTCCTCGGGACTGGCTCCCCCGATGGAGAAGCCGCTGCTCTGGAACTCCGCTCGGATCTCCTCCTCCATCACCTCGCCGCTGCTTGCTCGCTGCACAGCCGAGGGCAATCGGTGAGCAGGGGCGGCGAGCCGGCGACCAGGTGGCGTGGGTGAGCGGAGAGGGAAAGGGGTGAGGTATCTGGGGAGCAGAGCGAGGAGGGGTGGGGGCGGCCTGGCGGCAAATGGAGAGGCGAAGTGGCGGCGGGGGGGGGGGGGGCGGGGCTGGAGGAGGAGCAAAGAACAAACCCTAGCGAGATCTCCAATATAATAATAATAATAAATTTAATAACAACAACAACAATAATAATAATTAAAAAGAACAAAACGTGGATACTTTTTATGCGACATTCTAACCTGAGTCCATCATCTGCGTTCCCACAGCCTCGCTCCGACGCGTGACCGCCCCTTGCGATCCGACGTCCTAAGGAAAGCACGTCTGTGCGATCACGCCAATCACGCTCCCACGTCCGACCCTCAACCCAGTGCGCAATACCCAATCCCACGCCACCCCTCTCCATGCGCGCCGCCCATGCCGCCAAGGCTTCTCCCCACACCGCCGCCATTCCACGGATCGACGCCGACATCACCGCGCAAAAGCAGCCGAAGAGCAGGGGCTCTCCCCGTCGTCGTCCCCACCATGCGGCGGGAGATCGAGATCCATCATTGCAATTTTTGTCGAGTCCGCGGCTCCGCGCTCCCCGGCCCTCCTATGGCATTGTCTCCTCAAGACCTCAGGCAGGCAGTGACGGCTTCATGGAAACCCTAGCCGCCACCGCACTCCAGTCGTCGTCGTTCACAGGCCCAAGGGGAGCAGCGGCAAGTCCACGTCCTCCCTCTGGTTGCCGCGGGGGCGTCCTGCCTCCCGGAGCACCGGCCGCCGCAGGTCCCCAAGGCGCCCCCACGGCCATCTAGGCCGGCCCCGCCGGCAACTCAGGCCGCCCCGCGTGGCCACTGCCGGTCGTCCAGGCCGCCACAGGCCCCTAGGCCCGCCCTCACGGAGGAGTACGACCTTCGGCGATTATGAGGCGGAGAACGGGTCGCAGCAGAGCGACGGCGACGAGCCCGAGGCCAAGCGTTGGTACGTAAGCCCTAGATTCACTACTCATTCACAAGTTGAGCCATATTTTCTTGTTCCTAGAACTCATATACAATCAGGAAGGAGGATGGTGCATCTATGCCCAGAGGGACAGTGATGCATGCTCTCTTTGGATTTGGCCTCTGTGCAGAACTGCAGATGGGATTCTGCTACTTGTCTCTTTACGAGTTGACTACCAATATGTGTTTGCAATTACTTATGCACGACCTACTTAAAATGCTCAATCTCTGTTAATTCACATCAATGCGTTTTTAGTTGAAGTAAATTTGTTTATTAATTTGATGAATTTGGGTTTAAATTTACACTGCAGGATAATGGAGTTTATGCAAAGTTAACATATTCTCTTTAGCATGTTTCAGAGAAAAATGATGACCATGAGATAGGATATTCAATTGATTGGCCATGAAATTTGACATGACTGAAAAATTGAAAAATCTAGCTGGTCCATAGATTTGAGCAAACGATACGAATAGTTACTTTCGTACAACATATATATAGATGATCTCTTTGTGTTCATCTTCATGCCCTGGGCATTGAGATATGGAAGGTATGACTAGCAGTTTGCTTATTCTCCCTATGAATGCATACGTCAGTTTATTTCGAACTATGTCAACAAGGGTGTCATTCTGCTTCTAATTTTCCATGAGTGTCATTCAGCTTCTAATTTTCCATGAAATTAGCTTTTAGCGTTATGCCGCTATGGTCATTTTAATTCATGCTTCATATATATCTTATACGACTTATGTATTTTAGCATGTTTTTATGCATGGTTATGAGCAAAAAGTGCTGAGATGAAGTTGGCCTGATTTCACATTGGACATGGGGTGCTCAATTATGTTAGTGCCAATGCCAGCTTTGTCTTAGATAGAAGCATTCATTTAAATTTTGTTTTCTAATTACTGTTCAAGATTTGCCCTACTAATGAAAATTGTTCCATATATATGACAGGAATAGAGAATGGTTAGTTTCGTACACATAGCAAAGAATGTGAAAGTAACGGAATTAAGTTTGTACTAAGATGCCATACTTGATGCATGCTGTCAGAACATTCCTGCAGATGATGAGTTATGGTCAGTTTCCCCCCTAATTTAAATCCTTGTTTCCCCTTCTGTAGTCAATTGTGATCAAGTATGTTCTTACTAGCTTACGTGTTCCAAATAGGTAAACCTATTCTGCTGTGAATTTATCCTTTTTAAATTTTGCACCAAAAATTAGAGCAAGATGGCTCAGGGAAAAACGATTGCCTTATGTTTAAATGATGCACAGCTTGACCAATATTGTTGAGTCCATAGCACGGCCACACTACTGGCGTTAGCCCAGCGCAAGACCAATATTTTTTCTAGAATTAACTTTGGATTTACTATGGTCCGTAGCGTTAGCACAGACAATATACTTCAATGCTAATAGGATTTAAATTGGGATTCAGGATCCGTTCGAGGCAAAGTGATCATAGAATTATGTGCTTGGTACTACAGAACAGAATTATCTTAGGTATTTTGGGCAACTTAGTTTAGTTGTTAGTTTGTTGGATGCTTCATCAGTGAAGTTGCGGTTCTGTTTGGTTTCAGTATAAATAAGTGGAAGCTTTATGTTATTGAAGAATAAATATTGTCAAATTCTATTGGTTTATTTCTCTGCTCTGTCATACATTTTGGATTTTGGACTTCAAAAGTTTTTATTATAATAAGCTTATGTTCCGATTGGGAAATGAATGATTTACCATGGCCATTGCTTTGCATTTTTATCACAGTTGACAGTGGGATGCGGTCTATGGCAGCAAGGCTGCTGGGCACTGGAATGGAAGCAAGACACTTAGCTTTGGTGGTGGCAATGGTGTAAGCCGGGCTATTGCTGGAAGCAACTGTGTGTAGGAGGAGGCCTTTGTACATCTATAGGCCTTGGTGGATCACAAGGGGCCACAAATTGTGATGGCAAGGGTACATATATTGTATTCAATGCTGCTGATACACTATTCATCAGTGACCTCAATTCTCAGGTGAAGGTATTCAGTCATTTTACTGGATGCAAGCTATGTTGTCTTAACATAGCAGGTCCCAAGCCCTGGTAAAGGAGGAGGGTTGTGATAGGCGTGGCGAGCCAACGTTAAATCTAGCCATTCTAATAGAGATGAAACCCAAAAGAAAACCGTTGGGATGTAACCCTCTTAGCGACGCGCCATATCGGAACCCATGTATGGTGTTAAATGGGCAAGGGCCGGGTCGGCACCCCTTGGTGATGTGCCATGTCGCGATCTGGGCATGGTGTCAAGTGAGCAAGGATCAGGTCGTCGCTTCCTTAGTGGCGCGCTACATCGGTGCTCGGGTGTAGTGAAAAATGAGCAAGGGTCTTCACATCAGAGTCGACGGGTGCAAAGGGTAAGGAAGCTAGTCAAACCAACTAGGATCCATTTAGGTAGTTGGAATGTAGGGTCGCTTATAGGTAAGTTAAGAGAATTAGTTGATACCACGACTAGGAGGCGTGTAAATATATTATGTGTTCAAGAGACTAATGGAAGGGTTAGAAGGTGAAGGAGGTGGACAATACAGGTTTAAGCTTTGGTACACAGGGACAGTCATGAATAGAAATGGAGTAGGAGTTTTGATTGATAAGAGCCTCAAGAATGGTGTGGTGGGAGTGAGAAGGCAAGGAGATATGATTATCTTAGTCAAGCTTGTCATTGGTGATATGGTCTTGAACGTAATTAATGCGTATGCCCCCCAAGTAGGCCTCGACGAGAGTGCTAAGAGACAGTTCTAGGAAGACTTAGATGGCCTGATTAGAGTTGTACCTAGTAGTGAGAAGCTTTTTATAGGAGGAGATCTTAATGGGCATGTAGGTACTACAAGCGCAGGTTTCGAGGCAGTTCATGGAGGTTTTAGGTATGGTAGTAGGAATCAGGAGGGGGAGGAAGTTCTGGACTTGCGGTAGCTTTTGACCTAATGATAACCAACACTTTCTTTAGAAAGAGAGAATCTCATCTAGTGACCTTCAGTAGCGGACAACACTCTAGCCAGATTGACTTTGTCCTCGCAAGAAGAAAGGACAAACGAGCATGCTTGGGTTGCAAGGTGATACTAGGGGAGTGTGTTGTTTCTCAACATAAGCTTTTGGTGGTAGACTTTCGTTTTCAGGTGCATGCCTGTAGGGATAAACAAGCTAAGATTGAAAGAATAAAGTGGTAGAAACTAAAAGAGGAGACGTCAGAGGTATTCAGAGAAAGGGTTATCAAAGAGGGCTCTTGGAAGGAAGAAAATGACATAAAGAACATGTGGGAGAAGATGGCAACCAACATTCAGAAGGTGGCCTCAGAGGTGTGTGGAGTAACCAAAGGAAGTGGAGGCAAGGCTAAAAATACTTGGTGGTGGAACGAGGAAGTCCAAAGGGCTATTAAGGAGAAGAAATAATGCTATAGACGCTTGTACCATGACAGGAGTGTGGACAACATAGAGAAGTACAAGGTGGCAAAGAAGACTACAAAGCGAGCTATAAGTGTGGCAAAGGGTAGAGCATACGAGGATCTTTACCAACATTTGAGTACGAATGAAGGAGAGAAGGACATTTATAAGATGGCTAGGGTTCGTGAGAGAAAGATAAGAGACTTCAACCAAGTTAAGTGCATTAAGGATGAAAGGGAGCATCTCTTGGTGAAGGAGGATGAGATCCGACATCGATGGCAAGAGTATTTTGACAAATTGTTCAATGGTGAGAATACGGAGACAACCTTTCAATTGGATGACTCTTTTGATGACACCAATAGGCGCTTTGTGCGGAGAATCTAAAAAACTGAGGTCAGAGAGGCGTTGAAAAGGATGAAAGGAGGTAAGGCGATGGGACCGGATGGTATCCCAATCGAGGTGTGGAGATGCCTCAGGGACATAGCTATAGTATGGCTAACCAAGCTGTTCAACCATATTTTTTGATCAAACAAGATGCC